GGGGGGTTTCTAGTATACCATTCCCCCTTAGAAACTACTTTTCTTCTCCGGGGGGGGGGGTTAAAGCCGGGATGCAGCCAATAAGGGCCATAAGCTGGGGGAATGACCCGGGGATACCGAAAGCCAGGAACCGGAGAGCCCACCTTGGGCCCGTCGGGGAGAAATCCCTAGAGAGAGAGAGAGAGAGAGAGAGAGAGAGAGAGAGAGAGAGAGGGAGGGAGAGAGAGAGCGGGGGGGGGAGAGCCTGCACGAGCAGAACCAGCGGCTGAGGCCAGCGGAGAAAGTTGGATAGCTCCGCCGAGGCCATGCAGAGCTGGTGAGAGGTGACTTGGGAGAGGAACTCGGCGAGTTCGGCGGCGCGGCGGGCGAGGAAGTCGCCGTCGTGCAGCAGCATCGAGCTGTTGGCAAGGATCTTCTTCTCGGGAATCAGCGGCAGCAGCACGCCCGGGCACGCCTCCAGAAGGGACTTGCGGAGCGAGCGGAACTCAGAATAGCGGTGGCGAACCGTCGTCTCGCCCAGATCAGGGTGCTTGGTCAGGACGCGATAGGTTGCATGCCTAAAGTGTTTACGGCGAGCTGAGCACCGGTGTTTCAGCACTGCGCAGGATATTTTCACCGCAGTGCGGACCCGCCCAAGCCGCCGTAGGAGCTCTCCGCGGTGGGGTCATCCACCGTGACCACCAGGCCAGGCAAGCCGGACGGCATGGTGGTAGAACGTGCGTCGGGTAAGCGGGCCGAAGACGGCTCACTCTCGACCGGGTTCTGGGGACGCCGACCAAGTCGTTGTGGGACGCAGTTTTTCTCTTTTTGTCAATAGAGAAGTGGAATCCCGTGTGTGTGTGTGTCTCTCTCTCTCTCTCTCTGTGTGTACTTGTTACGTGAAAACCCGCTGGGACCCGGGCGCCAGCACACACGGCTAGATTTCATGGCGGGCCGCCTAGGCCCTGGGGTCGGAGGCAGAGTCGGTGGGGGTGCCGCGCGCGGCGCGGGCTTCGCTGTCGGGGGCGTTTAGGGCGGGGTCGGGGAAGGAGGGTGGGGTCGGTCGCATTGGCGGCCGCGCGGCAGTGGCTGCGAGGGGGGCGGGAGGAGGTGGTGGCGCCGACCGCAATGGCGGCCGAGGACCCGACGTCGAGCGCCGGGCGAGATCGCGAGGGTCGAGGGTGAGCTCGAAGCCGAGGGCGGCGGCCGAGTTCTGGATGGTGAGGGCGTCGGCGGTGACGATGGCGGCGGAGATGGCGGCGGAGTGGAAGGTGTAGTGTGAGCGGGTGGACGCGCGAGAGGTGCCATACGGCGTGTGGTCAATGGACCCACTAGCGCGTGCGGTCCTCGCAAGCCGGCGGAGGACGCGATCGAGGTCGGCGGAGAATGCTCCGGTCGACTCGGTCACGAGGAGGATGACCGTGTGGCCCTTGGCGAGGGCGTCGGCATAATCGCCGTCCTTCGCTGCCACCCATCCGTCGCCGCTGACGCGGTCCAACTGCTCCTCCGTGTCCGGGTCACCCCGTTGGGGGTGGCCGAGAACGACGACGGAGAGGTGCTCCTCAGTGTTGCCAAGTGCGATGAAGTGCCCGTCGGCACGGGAGGCGGCGCCTCCGCAGCGAGCAGAGCCGTTGCCCTTTGCGCCGGAGGGGAGGAACGGAGTGTAGCACTTGAACTCCCAGCACGTGGTCGTGGAGCCAAAGCGGATCATGTCTGGGATGTGTCCCTTGTTGACGTGGGCGTAGTAGCCCCTCCGCTCAGCCTTGGAGGCGGGGGTCCCGTCGCCCTTATCGGCCAGCTGGATCGAGCCAACTGGCAGGGCGTCGCTCGTGACGCTGGTGAGCGCACGGTGGACGGCTGCAAGTGCGGCGTTGTGGCGGTGGGTGGCGTTGGCGGAATTGAGGCAATGGTCGCCGAGGCGTTGGTGCTGGGTGACGGTAACGCCGCGCTCCTCGAGCGCGTTGTACACGTCATCGAGGGCGGTAAGGTAGAGGCCGAGGCGGTGCTGGCACGCCGAGAGGAAGGTGTCGGAGGGGATGATGGAGCGAGGCACTGTGGCATCGGGCAGGCGGAGCAGCCAAGCTCCCGAGCCCACCTGCGAGTGGCTGATGAGGGAGGTGGCCTCCCGGTGCGGCACGGTGGCGCCGGCGTTGTGGGAATCGAAGGAGTCGCACGCGTCCTTGGCGACCAGCCACGCGCCGTTGTTGACGACAGCCGACAGCGAGTGCTGTGAGAGGCACGAGGAAGATGTGCCGTCGGCGTCACCCAACAGGGCGGCGAGGGGCGGAAGCTGGAAGCCGCGCTTGAGGTGCGGGTGGTAGGCGGAGCGTGTGGCGCCGTCGACCCAGTGACGAACCTGTTCGTCGAGGGCGGCGTGGCGGGTGCGTACATCGGCGAGGGCGGAGTCGATGACGCCGTGAGCGGCGACGAGAGCGGTGGCGGTGGCGGTGTTTGGGGGGGTAAGGGACATCTCCCCGAGCGCAGGGTAGACCCTGGCGCACGCCCTCTGGGAGGTGACGGCGGAGGCGAGGAAGCTGGGGAATCGGCGGCGAGCGTAGTCGGACATGCCAATGCCGCCATTCTTGCCCGTCTGCTTCGCGCGGGTGCGCGCGAGGGCCGCTCTGTCGCCAGGGCTGCGGCCGAAGTCAAGGATGAGGGCGGCGGCGTTGCCGGTCGCCTCATCGGCGAAGGCGGCGGCGCCCTCGGTCTGGGTTGGGGGCATCGTGCGCATCCAGTGGTTTGGGATCGAGCAGGCGCAGAGGCGAACGAGCTGCAGCTGGAGCAGTCGGGCGTGCCTAACGCGGCCCGAGTCCCTCATCCTGACAATGTAGGAGAGCGGCTTCTCGAGCTTGGCCCGCATGAGCTCGAGGAGCGCGCTAGCGCATGCGTCGCCGTCGCCCAAGAAGGTGCCGCCGACTTTGAAGACAGTCAGGCGCCGGCGCAGGCGCTCTTGGCGGGCGGGATCGCTGGCGTCGACATAGTTGGGCGAGCCGGGTATGTCGGCTGGCGCGGCGGAGAGGTTGCCCGCCGAAGAGTAGAGGTTGGTCTTCGGGAGGCAAGAGTCGAGGTTGCAGTCGCGCTTGCAGAGGCGACGCTTGTCGTTGTAGCACTTGAAGAGGGGCGGTATGCCGCTGTCGTCGCTCTCAGTGGAGAGGGACGACATGCGACCCATGTCGTCGTCGCCGCCGTCGCCCTCGGCGGAGGGGGGAATCATCGATCCCGACGCGTAGAAGTCGTCGGCGGTGGCGGTCATGTCGACGTCCGGGTTGAGGCGTTGGCACTCGCGGCAGCTCTCGTGCATGGCGCCGACACACAAGATGGTGGCGCCCCCGTCGCCCTGGCATCCGCCATCGACGGAGCGCAAGACGTGCTGGGAACGGTGGTCCCCAAGCACGGCGCGTCCGTCGGGGCCAAAGTTGACGGGGACGGTGGAGCCGCCAAACCATATTTTCGCAGCAGTGGCCGCGACGGAGTAGTAGAAGAAGCGGAAGATGGCGAGGAGGGACGGAAAGCGTCTCCGCAGGAAGGCGAATCCCGCCCAGCGGCTCGTCCACTGGTACATGGCGGAGATGTCGTCGGAGACGATGCCGTGGCGTGGCGCGTGCTCGGTCCAGCCTCGGACGAGGCGGGCAAGTTTCTCCGTTCCCTTGGAGGAGAAGCACCAGTTGGTGACAAACTTGAGCGGGCGGGAGGCGGCGGCGAGGGCGTCCCTGGCAGCAGCGAGGGCGGCGGCGGTGCGGCTGGCGCGCGCGCGCAGGCCTGCGGCGGACGGATCGTTGCCGGAGACGGCGGTGGCAGCCTCGTGCTGCAGCTCGGCGGCGAGGACGTCCGCCTCGGCGGTGTCAATGCGGCGCTGATGGTCCTGCACGTCCTCGGGGGCGGGCTCGGTGAAGTTGCGTTCGAACCCTTTGCGGCAAGCGCGATTGATTATTGCCCAGAGTAGACAGCGCCACTTCTCGCACATGCCGAGGGGCCGACGGCCTTTGATCTCGCCGGTCAAAGGGCAGACTTTGGCGGCGAGGGCGGCGCGGATGCCGCCGGCGAGGAGGTCGCGGGCAGTCGCCCCATGTGTGTGAGAAACCGCCAATGGCCGTTATCCGTTAGTGCGGACGTCGCCGCGGCTCGCCTCTGCCGCGGCGGCTGCTGCGCGCACGCGGCGGCGCCGCTCTCTCGCGAGACGGCTGGCGACGCGGCTCGCCGCCGACGTACGGTGCGCTCGTCCGACGGTCCGCAGCGTGGCGTGCGCGGCGCTGAGCGCCGCTCTGCGAGCGCCTCTGCGCCTGCACTGCCTGTCTCTGTTGCTGTTGGTGGTGGTGGTGCTGCTGCTGCTGGTGCCGATGCTGCTGCTGGCGCGGCGCGGCTGTGCGACTGGGCTCGACGCGCGCGTCGCGAGCGTCTGACGCGGCGGGCGGCGTCGGGCAGGTGCGCTTCCCTCTCGGGTGGTGGTGGTGGTGCTGCTGCTGCTGCTGGTGGTGCAGATGCTGCTGCTGGTGCGGCGCGGCTCTCCGACGCGACTCGATGCGCGCGTCGCGGCTATCTGACGCGGCGGGCGGCGTCGCGGGCGGCAGCGGTGGCGGCTCGCGGGTGGAGGTGGAGGCTGGAGGCGTGGTGGGTCTTTGAGTTTATTTCATGATGGACTACGAGGAGTGGGGGTCAACCGGGAGGCAGGGGGTTCGACCTGGCGACGGAGGACCGTGGGCCATCGCGGGGACGGGTCCGTCCGGAGGGCGAACCCGGCAGATCCGGATGGTCTTCACGCCGGTGGGTGGCACCGAGGCGTCTTGGACGCTCAGCTCTACCTTAAGCTCCTGAGGGGCGCGTGGTTGTAACCACGTAGTAGGACTACAGCCCACCACAGACACCCTCCCCCACTCCTCACGTGTGTTCACACCCTCACCCTCTCCTCTCTCCTCTCTCTCTCTCTCTCTCTCTCTCTCTCTCTCCTCTCTCTCCTCTTGTCTGTGCTGTCTGCCTGACTCAGGCACTCAATCTGCCGATGCGTGATTGTGTGTGGGCTGCTCCGAGGGGGCCCTGTGCGATCCGACGGGTAGGGGGTCTGTGCCCGGGCGGTGTCCGGTGTGGAGTCCCCTTCTGATCCCGCCTGGAATGTTGGGTGTGAGGTCGTGGAAGCTTCGATCCCAAGGGGGGGAGCCGAGCCCACTCATAACCAACTCTCAGGGGCAGTAGGTGGGCGAGCTTCAGGCACGCTCATCTCGATCGTCAAGACGTCGCTACGCGCGGTCTTCCGCGGGGGGAGCTGCGTCGACGGGTGCGGGACCGCGGCGCAGTCAGTGCCGTGGCGATGCCTCCGGCTGTTTGCGGCGGGCGGCTTGCTGCTCGCTGCATGGCGAAAAACTCGTCTCGCCACACGCCAAGGGCTTATGCTCTGGCGAGACGTGAGGCGCATGCGCCCAGGAGGGGAGGGGGCATGTGTAACGACACTGCTAGAGATGCCTTTCGGGGCCCAGAGATAAAACTTCTGTGATGCCATGCGTGACCTAGTAGTGTCCCCAGCTATGGGCGTGTCCACGTTGGAGCCAGGTGTGGTGTGGGCGCGAGAATAGCTCCGCCGTTCATGGAGGCAACCGATGCGAGTCGACTGGTGTGTGTCGTCGTGGTTTCGTATCAAGAATACTCACTCACACTGGAATCCCGTGCCCCCTTTTCTTTCTTATCGAGAGAGAGAGTTCTTTTTTTTCAATTCTTTCTTAACAACCAATCTTTCTTGCGACTGGGCCGAGAACCAAGTCGTTTCGCGCGGTTTTCTCTTTTTTCGTTGGGATCTTTTCGTTGCTGAAATTATTTTTTCGCTAGAGATTCAGAAGGACACAGTACATACACACAGCAAGGTGTAGCTATTGTTGGCAAAACAAGACACAGGAATCACACAGAATCACAGCGGGAGGAAAGCGGCGAGTCGTCATTCCTGGGGTCCTTGCAAGGTGAGGTGAGCCCCCCCCCCCCCCCCCTCGACATACCCAATAACGGCGTGCGCGCTACTCGCACCAGTCGCGCATGCGCTCGAAGCGGACGGCGGGCACCGACGCGCCGTCCGCGCGCGTCACCTCGAGGCAGACCTCTGCGGAGTAGGTCAGCGTGCTGCTGTTCCACACCGACACCTCGCGCCGGTGCCCTCCCGCCGACAGGAGCGTGCCGCCGTGCTCGTCCGGAAGCATCAGCCTCGCAAAGGCCGGCCGCATCACCTAAGTGAGGTAAGGTAAGGTCAACGTCTCCACACACACAAGGTGGCTGTCCCTCGCATCTCCGCGCCCGGGACACGGGTAGGAGCTGGCACGGCATTCAAAGTGCAAGCACCGGCCCGGTGCCGTGGGTGAGCGACCTGCACCCCACTCCCTCCCTCCCTCATCACCTGTGTGGCGGCGGCGTGTGCCGTCCTCCCATCCCTCCCTCGGGCGCGTGTGTTTTTCTTTCTGTTCACCGAGCGGTGAAAGTCGGAGAACACCCACGCGCCCTGCCATATCTCCCCATATCTCCCCATACCTCCCCATATCTCCCCATATCTCACCGAGTGGTGAAAGTCGGAGAGCACCCACGCGCCCTGCCGCCCGCCGACCAGCGCGTTGCGCGCCGCCGCCTCGGCCACGTACGCCTCGCGAGATACATCATTGTGAAATATAAAATAGTCTATCATGATGTAGTATATCGGTGTGGTTTTATCGAGATGTATATCGTACGCCTCGAGCGCGGCGAGCGAGCGATAATTATTATTAGTATTATTAATTATATAATATCTCGTACGCCTCGAGCGCGGCGAGCGAGCGCGGACCGTGACGCACCGAGCCGACCTGTGCAGCGAAGGGACCAGCCGTGAAGAGACGCCGTTCACGGCTCCTCCGGCGAGGGCGAGCGGCGCGGCCGCCTGCTCACACGGCTGCAGCTGTGAAGAGACGCCGTCCACGGCTCGCCGCCCGAGCCGCAGCGACGCTTCACCCAGCGGTGTGTCACCCGCGCGCCCAGCGCCCAGCTCGAGCGGCGGTGCATCTCGTCGTCGAGACGCTTCCCCGCCTCCTCGCACTGGCGGTGCAGGTACTTTGCCGCGGCGGCAGTCAGCTCGTCCGAGCAGAGCTCGCGGAAGGGGACGATCGGGAGGGCCTATTCACAGCAGGGGGTGTGAATAGAGAGCTGTGAATAGCTCGCGGAAGGGGGCGATCGGGAGGGCCTTTGGGGAGGGGGAGGGGAGGTGCGGGGAGGTGAGGTGCGGGGAGGGGGAGGGGAGAGGGAGGGGAGGGGAGGGGAGGGGAGGGGAGGGGAGACGAGGGTCTCACCTCCCACCAGTCCGGGGTGAGCTGCTTGCGCGAGCTATTCACACATCTCTATTCACACCTCCCACCAGTCCGGGGTGAGCTGCTTGCGCGAGGCCCAAAAGGTGCGCGACTGCTCTCGCACCGCGCCGAGCATCTGCTCGAACGAGCCCGCCTCGCACCCCATGCTGCCGCCTCCGTCGGCCGCGCCGACCTCGAGGTCGGAGGTCAGGATGAAGAGCGCCCTCGAGGCAGGCACCAGCTCCGGTTCGGTGGCAGATGTTCGGAACTCGGGCACGGCGCTGCCGCCCACACCGCAGAGCAGCTTGCCAAGCCGGTCGAAGGCGGCGGCGTCGGCGAGGCGTCCGACGTCGTCGAGGACGATGACGGCGGCAGGGTCGCGGAGCAGCTGGTGCGCCACCGCATGCTCGAACGCCTCCACCTCGCTCAGGCCCGACCCGCGCGAAAACTTGTGCAGCCGCACGCCGCACTGGCCCGGGAAGGGCGCGCTGGCGCGGAAGGAGCGGTGCCACGCGGGCAGCACCGAAGGGAGCACCTCCTGCGCCCGGTCCACCGCGGAGGCGGCCACCGCCGCGCCCGCCGCGCAGCCGAGCGTCGCGCCGAGCGGGCCGAGCGCGAGGCCGAGGCTGCCGAGCAGCGCACACGAGGTCGAGGCGAGCCCCAGCTGAGCGCGCGGGTACCGCTCCTCCTCCCACTCCTCGAAGGCCGCGCTCGCGATGATCTCCGCCAGGAACGACTTGCCGGAGCCCGACGGACCCGTGAAGTGCAGCACCCAGTCGGCACACGTCGCCCGCGGCGCGAGGCCGACATACGATTCTAGCGCGCGGCGCACAAAGTTCCAGGCCTGGTGCTGCCCCACGTAGTCGCGGCGGGCGCGCGCCTCGAAGCTGCGCCGCACGTCCTCGCCGGCGGCGGCGTTGGCACAGGGCATCGGCACGGGCAACGGCCGCACGGGGGAGGAGGACGGGGGGGGAGGCGGGGCGCGGGGACCCCCCCGGGAGAAGCGGGCGTCCTTGTACGGAAATGATTTTTTATCGGCGGTGATGGTGGTGGTGGGGAAGGTGGTGGGGAACGTGGTGGTAGTGAACTTGTGGTGATGGTGGCGGCGGGGACGATGGCGGTGGTGGGGAGGGCGGAGACGATGGCGGCGGCGACGTGGGCGGCGGAGGCGAGGCAGGAGGCGGCGTGGGCGGCGTCGGCGGAGGCGCCGGTGGTGACGGCGTGGGCGGCGGAGGCACCGGCGGCGGCGGCGTGGGCGGCGGAGGCGACGGCGAGGTGGAGGGCGGCGGCGGCGTGGGCGGCGGTGGGGCAGGTGGCGGCGGCGTGGGAGGGGCTCCCCACCCTTTTGCGCAGCAACACCTTAAACTTTTCAGGCCCTCCAAATTCGGGTCGGAGCGTAGGGAGTGGGCCCCGAGTTTTTGAAAAGGGCGACAGACGCTTGCGTCCTAACCTCCAACAACGCCCGTGCGTATACAAAAAAAGAAAGTCCGCGAGCGTGACGCCATCGGCCGACTCCGACGCCCTTTCCGGCCGCGAAGAACCCTCATTGCGCGCATGCTGCCAACGAAGTCCACGCCGTTCGTCGCTTTGTCGTCGGGCAAGGCCTCGCCGCTCCTCGGGGAGAGTGAACCCGAGGAGCCGTGGTTCAAGCGACCAAACACAAAAAGGCGTGCTGACCCCTCCAGCGAACGCTGCGCGCCTGCCCGCCGTGCAGGGGCCCTGCGCTCCTGCACCATTAGAACATAGATCCTGCACAGCCTCAATCCACCCCAATGCCATGTGCGCACCGAGCCGCCCGGCTACTTCCACAGGCTGCTCGTCGCGGGCGCGCTGCTGGCAGCCACCTGCGCGCTTGCGCTGATCGGCGCCTCCCCAACTCTCGCCTCCCCAACTCTCGCAGTGGCTGAACCGCCGAAACCCTTCGTCGACGCTGCCCATGCCGCGTCCGTCTCGCCCGAGGCTGCCAAGGCTGGCTTTGCCTCGGCGGTAAAGGCGATGCAGGAGGGAAAGAGTCCTGCGGAGGCCATGCGAGCGGCGGAGAAGGCGGCCGAGAAGGCACAAGAGGACGCGGGCGCAAAGAGCATGCTGCTCGCGGCCGACCCATCCAAGATGCCGGACACCAAGCCGTTTGTCGACGCCGCTCACGCGGCGTCGCGCTCGCCCGAGGCGGCCAAGGCTGCGGCCGCATCGGCGATCAAGGCCATGCAGGAGGGGAAGAGCCCGGCAGAGGCGATGCATGCTGCCGAGAAGGCGGCCAAGGAGGCGCAAGAGATGGTCGGCTGGGCGTCGGCCAAGGAAATGTCGTTGCTGACGGTTCAGGGAGGCAAGCCGGGTGATGACAAGGACGAGGCAGACGAAGACGAGACCGACAAAGACGAGAGCGAGGAGGAGAAGAAGAGCGACGAGCAGAAGGAGTGGAAGCGGATGGGACAGGCAATCGGCGATGACTGGAAGTCAAAGGGGCAGGCAATCGGCGATGACTGGAAGTCAAAGGGACAGGCAATCGGCGATGACTGGAAGTCAAAGGGACAGGCAATCGGTGATGACTGGAAGTCAAAGGGACAGGCAATCGGCGATTACTGGAAGTCAAAGGGCAAGCAGATGGGCGATACCGACTGGAAGGCCTTGGGTGACAAGATGAAGGACATGGGCAAAGACGCCCAGGAGACCGGTGGGTGGTCGTGGCCGTCGTTCGAGAAATTCTGGAACCCCTGCCACTAAGCAGGTCAGTTGAAAGCTTCACTGCACTTCTGATCTCTTGGCTGTCCATCTACGAGCAACCACGTCCAAGAGCTTTGATGACGGACGCGTCCGGGAGCGTAGCCGCTCGAGTAGTCATGACTTCGAGTCATGATATGTTGCATGCGGCATGTGCCCAGCTAGTGCACAAGTACGGTCTGGGAAGCCTCGCACGATGTTGATCACGTTTTCACGAATCGTTTTCACATGTTTATGATCTACTGTTTCTACATGAGCCATGACTGTATTGTGTATTGAGAGTAATATATTGTGGCGCACACTGTCACAGTGACAGCTCACACCGCAGTCACTTTCCACGCTCCGAGTGTGGAGAACCAGCTCCACGTAGAGACCTCGGGATTATCTACTCCGGCTCCGGCTGGTAGTCGACAAGCTGCCGAGCTCAAATCACTGTGTGTGACACATTTCTTGTTGGCTTCTAAAAATCTCTCTGAAAGCGAGCTGAGGTTGCGACGCCGCAGGCGACTCAGCACTCTGACAGCACGGTGACACGAGCGAGCTGTCAGCTGAGCAGCGGCGGGCGTCGCCATCCCCCCGAGATGCCATCCGTGCAATTTACGCACACGCCCACACTTCTCGACACTCGAGAAGTCGAGTCGCGCGCCGCGGTGTGTGTCGGCAGTCGGGACGCGCGCGGCGCGGCGGCTGGGCGTACTGAGGTACTCGTTAGACGCGTTACTCGGGGTGCCACACGCGACACGGTTGCGAGCGGGCGGCACCCCCGCGCTGATCGGATAATTGTTGTTCACTAGTACAGGAACTACAACATAGAGAGCGATCGCATCGCGTCTCGTCAATCGTCCTTCGCCTGGCGGCCGCGCCCGCTGCGCCCGCCCGCCCGGCCGCGCGCCTTCTTCTTGGCGCTCGACCCGAGCGAGAACTCCTCGTCGGAGGAGTGCATCTGCGAGTCGTCGTCCGAGTCGCGCTCAAAGTAGCGGCCGCCGTAGTCGACGAGCAGCTCCGCGCCGCACGGCACGTCCGCGATCGTCTTGACGGCGATGCGCTTCTCGCCCGAGTTTGGGTCAAAGTGCGGCCAGAACTGCGCGTTGGGCGGCGAGCCCGTGCCGTGGTAGTCGTTGAGGAAGCGCGCCTCGTTGCCCGCCAGGTTGGCGTCGACGTCGATGTAGGTCTGCGAGTCCTCGTGCGTGAAGAGGTTGAGCAGGTACGACGACGAGTTGGTGTCGTGCTCCTCGCCGGCGACGACGCGCACGTGCCCCGTGTAGTCGAAGAGCTCCTCGCCCTTGGGGATGTCCTGTTCACAGCTGGAGGTGTGAAGAGGCGCTGTTCACACGAAGAGCTCCTCGCCCTTGGTGAGGTCCTCCCCCGCGTACAGGCCGTACGAGCCGCAGCACGGGTGCTTGCGCAGCGTGACCCGCTTGATCGTGGTGCGCCGCCGCCGCCGCACCGCCGACGGGTCCGAGATCTTGTGCCGGAAGAAGTGGAGCTCGGGCGGGACGTCGTCCCACAGCAGCAGGTGCGTGTACTGCAGCTCGGCGGGCCAGCCGTTCGGCGGCTTGAACCACGACCCGTCCGTCACCTCGGAGAAGACGGCCACGTCCAGCTCCTTGGCGAGCGCCTGCGGGCAGCGAGGCGCGGCTCGCGTCGGGGCGCCGAATCATCATTGTGGGTGGGTGGGTGGGTGGGGGGGTTTGACGGCCGGGCGAGCTTGCGCGCCGAGCTTCGGCCGCCGCGCTCGTCCTCCTCCTCCTCGATGCCCGCAGCCTTGAGCTGGCGCACGAGCGAGGCGACCCGCCGCTCGAGCGTCGCCGTGCGGCCTATTCACAGGAGGAGGTGTGAAGAGGCGCCGTTCACAGCAGGAGCAGCTCGAGCGTCGCCGTGCGGCCGTGCTGCGCCGCGAGGGCCGCCTGCCGCTCCCTCGCCACGCTGAGCATCTCCTCGTACCGGTGCCGCAGCTCGTCCGCCTGCGCACAGCGAGAGGCGTGAAGCGGCGCCGTCCACACCTCGTGGCCCACGCCCGCAGCCAGCGCCCCTCGCCTCGGCAAACCCGCCACCCTGCGGCCCGCCCTGCGGCAACCCCTCGGGCCCGCCGGCCCGGGAGGGACGCCGCGCCGCCGGCCGCCCCCCCTCCTCCTCCTCCACCTCCTCGTCGACGGCCCCGTCCCCCTGCGCCTGCTCCGCCTCCTCCGCCGCCTCGAGCGCCTCCGCCGCGCCAGGCACGTCGAGCCTCACCCGCTCCAGCGCGCGCGCCCGCCGCCCGAGCAGCGCAGTCAGCTGCGACACACGCGCGCGCAGCTCCGCCCTCTCGCGCTGCAGCCGCTGCATCCCCATCGAGTCGAGGGCGGCGCGCTCCGCCCGCAGGTCGCCCGCGCCCACCGAGAGCTTGCCGCCCGCCCGCCTGATCGCCGCGCCGCCCTCCCCCTTGGGCGGCGCTGGCACATACGCGTGCGAGTGGCTCGGCGCCTCGGCGCCCGAGCTGAGCCGCTCCACATTAGCGCCGGCGGCGGAGGCGGCGGCGATGGCCTGCGAGAGCTCGGCGGAGGGAGGATTCGGGTACCATGGGGGTAGGGGGTAGGGGGTTCGGTACCGTGGGGGTAGGGGAGGGTGGGTTCGGGTACCGGGGGGGTAGCGGAGGGGCGGCGATGGCCTGCGAGAGCTCGGCGGGCGGCAGCCGCGGCGCCAGGCTCGCCACAAGCTCGACGAGCTCCGCGAGCGCGCCCGCCGAGCGCACGCGGCCGGCGGCGGCGGCGGCGGCGGCGAGCGCAGCGGGGAGCGGCAGCACCCCCGCCTCGGCCATCCGCGCCATGGCGCCATTCGCCCGGCTGACGCGCGCGACGGCGCAGAGGGCCTGCGCCAACGGACGGGAGGGTCAGCGTGATGAGCAGGGGCGTGGGTGAACGGCACGTTCAGACGGCCTGCACGAGGCCGAGCTGCAGCGTGCGCGTCTCCTGCTTGCTCACGCCGCCGCCGCCGCCGCCGCCGCCGCCCCCACGGCCGCCCGCACCGCCGCCGCCGCCGCCGCCGCCGCCGCCGGTCGCGGCGCCGTCTCCCGCGTCACCAGCGGCGGCGAGCAGCTCGAGGGCGAGGGCGGCCTCGTCGAGCTGGGGCGGCTTGTGCTCCATCAGCAGCTTGTGCGCCGCGCGCAGCGAGGGAGCGTCGCACGAGAGGCGGCGGGCGGCAACCTCCTCGACCAGATTGATTAATTAATAATTAATTAATTGATTAATTAATTAATTAGGCGGGCGGCAACCTCCTCGACCAGCCGGACAGTGATTAATTAATAATTAATTAATTAATTAATTAATTAAGGGTGCGGCGACCTCCTCGACCAGCCGGACGGTGAGGGGCGCGAGCCGCGCGGCGGCGCACCCGTCGAGGATGCGGGACGCCACGAAAGCGTCGAGGGGGAGCAGCGCGTCGCGCGCGTCCGAGGCGAGCGCGACCGCCTGCGGCAGCAGCTTGTCCTCCACGCATGCGAGCGCGAGGGAGGGGAGCCCGAAAGACGCGTAGTTGCCGATCAGGCCGGCGGAGCGCGCCGCCGCGTAGACGCGGTGCGCGCGCCGGCCGTGCATCGCCGCCGCGAGCGCCTTTGTGAGGAGGGCGAGGCCCGGCTCGAGCCGCCAGCCCGGCTCGGAGGAGTGGAGCGACGCCACGCGCGCGCCCGGCGCGCCCGCGTGCTCGAGCAGCTCCTCGAAGACGTCGAAGGCGGCGAGGGGGCGGCCGGAGCGGAGCAGCGCGACCATCACCTCGCCCGCCTGCTTGGCGGAGAGGGGCGCCTCGAGCCTGCCCAAAGCGCCGAGCACCTCCTTGGCTTGCGGGCCCATCCCGCGCGAGCAGAGCCGCTCGAGCAGCGGAGAAAGCACCCCGGCCGGCGGCGGCGCGCCCGCGTCGCAAACGTCGCCCAGCAGGCGGCACGCCTGCGGCAGCAGCAGCGCGCCCGTGTACGACCGGAGCAGCTCGATGGCGGCGCGCCGGAAGGCCTTGTCCGCCGCGTCGGCGTCCGCGTCGGCGGCGGCGGCGGCAGAGCCGCGCGACGCGCGCTTCCTGCCGCCGGTGCGGGCCGCGGCGAGAGCGGCGAGCCGCGCCTCGCCGAGGTGGCGGAAGAGACCTAGAAGGTTCCTAGAAGGTTCCAAGATCGTTCCTAGAAAGTGCGCCTCGCCGAGGTGGCGGAAGAGGCCTTCCGCGTCGGAGAGCATGCCGGCGCGGAGCGCGCCCGAGCAGAGCGCGGCGAGCGAGGGCAGCGGCACCGGCTCGCCCGAGGCGCGCAGCGCGGCGTACAGGGAGAGTGCCTGCGCCGTCGACTCGGCCTGCTTGTGTGCGAGCAAGCCTCGCATCACGGCGAGGGTGAGGGCGGTGGTGCCTCCGCCCGCCGCCGTCGCGTGCTGCAGCATCGCAGTCGCGAGATGCGGCACGCCCGCCTAGAGGTAATTAATTAATTAATTAATTAATTAATTAATTAGCCGTCACGAGATGCGGCACGCCAGCCTAGAGGGAACGGCGGCGAGGAGGGTGGCGGCAGAGGGCTCGCCGTCGGGCGTGCTGCGGCGCAAGGCTTTCCTTGAAGAGCCGCGCGGCGAGGGAGAGGAGGACGCTCTCGGGCGCACCTAGAAGGTTCCTAGAAGGTTCCTAGAAGGTTCCTAGAAGGTTCCTAGAGGAGGACGCTCTCGGGCGCACCTAGAAGGTTCCTAGAAGGTTCCTAGAAGGTTCCTAGAAGGTTCCTAGAAGGTTCCTGGAGGAGGACACTCTCGGGCGCACCTCCGCCGTCGCACTCGGCGAGCATCCGCACCGCCTCGACGGCGCCGTCCCACCGCCCCGCCTCGCTCGCCTCGGCGAGCAGCCGCAGCAGCGTCGCGCGCTGCTCCTCCGCCTCTCCCCGCTCCACCTCCATCTCCGGGGGCACCCGCGCCGCCGCCGCCGCCGAGGGCGCCGCCGGCGCGGGCGCGGCGGCGCTGCTCTCCGCCTCCGGCTCGACCTCCATGGAGGTGGTGGCGGCGCCCTCCTCCTCCTCCTGGCCCTCCCCCGCCTCCTCCTCCTCGCCCCCCTCCTCGCCCTCCTCCTCACCCTCCTCCTCGCCCCCCTCCTCGACGGCGACCTCCGCCTCCTCCTCCCCCTCCGGGATCGGCACGCCGCGCTGCAGCAGCATCGCCCGGAGCTCAAAGGCGGCGGCCGAGACTCCGCCGGACCGCAAGCCTTGCAGCAAGCGGAGCGACGCCTCCGCCTCCTACGGCAGAGCAGGGCGGGTGAGAGGGAGGAGGAGGAGGAGGGAGGAGGACGTGCGAAGGGCGTGGCCGCCGGCTCGAACCCGCGCGAGACGAGAGTGCGGTAGACGCCGAAGCCGGCGGCGGGCACGCCAGTGCGGCAGGCGGCGTCGAGAAGCGTCGCCCACACGTCGCCGCACTTTGACGCGGCGAGGCGGGCGGCGGCGGGGTGAGTCGCCTCCCCGAGCCGCGTGAGCAGGCTGGCCGCATGCTCTACGCCGGCCGCCTGATGGGGGCACGCCGTGGACGTGTCATGGACTGTGTTCTCGGACAGGTCACGCCGCGTGGTCGACAGCGGCCGCCGACTTTGCGCAGGAGGCCAGCAGCGTGCCGAGCAGGGCGGGGCCTGTGTTGATTCACGGACTGACTGCGCCGATGAACTCGTTTGATGAAGTGACAGTCACTCGCGCAGCCTTCTCACAGCGAGGGCAGGGAGGGGAGGAGGGAGAGGGCTTAGGACGGAAGGGGGGGGAGGCCTGGAGTGGCGGCGGCGACGCCGGAGCAAGCGAGCGTGCTCATCACGCCGCACCTGCAGGGAGGTTCCAGGAAAGGTCCAGGAAAGGCCGAGGGTGAGGCGAGAGCGTGGGGCCCGCCCGCCGCCCGCACCCCTGCTCGGCGAGCCCGCACGACGCGCAGAGCTGCACGAGGGCGGCGCCGTGCTCTCGGTCACCCGCGCCGCCGACGAGCCTCTCGGCGAGGGCGCGCCCGTGCGCGGCGAGCAGGCGCCGCACGAGAGACGCATCGCACGGCTCGCCGCCCGGAGATGCAGAGAGCATCAGCGCGAAAGCGCGCAGCGCCGCCGGCTCAACCTCCGCCGCCGCCGCCTCCTCCGCCTCCTCCGCCGCGTGCCCCGCCTCTGGCGCGACCCGCTCGAACACCTCCTTCGCCTGCGCCGCCTGCTTCGTGCGCGCGCAGGCGAGGAGCAGCTGCGAGGCTGCGGCGGGCGGCAGCGCGAGCCCGAGTGATCCCATCTCCGAGTAGAGGCCGTGCGCTGCCCTCGCGGGGGAGGGGTGGGAGCGGGCGAGCGCCGCGCGGCAGCTCGCGCGCAGCAGCGACTCGTACGCCTCCGCCGAGCCGGCCAGCCTGAGGAAGGTTCCGAGAAGGCTCCGAGAAGGCTCCGCGCCTCGCACGCCTCCGCCGACCCGGCCAAGCCCTGCGGCGCGCAGGGAGCGGAGCAGGCCCACCCCGCAAGCCACCTGCTGTGCAAGAGCAAACCTCTACACCCTCCTCTCATACCTCCTCCTCCGGACCGCGCTACAAGCCACTGCAGCAGCCTGCTGGGCGCCGCCCGCGGCGCCGCACGCCGCGGCGAGCGAGGAAGCGAGGGGCGCGTCCCAGCCGCCGCCCGGCGCGGCGATGGCGGCGTCGTGCGCCTCGAGCGCCTATCATTGATTGACAACAACTCGAGCGCCCGCCATTGACTGATCGTCACCACCTCGGTCGCCTGGCCACACGGCGCCGCTGCTGCTGGTGAACAGAAGAGGGTGGGGAAGAGGGGGTGGCGAGAGGCGGCGACAGGTGGCGAGGAGGGGGCGAGAGGCGGCGAGGAGGCGGCGAGAGGCGGCGAGAGGCGGCAGAGGTGAGAGGTGCGATCGCGCGGAGAGGCGAGTGGCTGCGGGGTCGTGCGGGAGCCGGCTCAGAGGCTCAGGAGGTGCCGAGGTTGGCTGGAGAGGTGGCCGAGGTGTGACATGAGGAGAGTTGGCTGCGGAGAGGCAGCTAGGGGGGCGCTGCAGTCGGAAGTGTCTCGGAGGTGTCTCGGAGGCGTCTCGGAGGTGTCTCGGAAGTGTCTCGGAGGTGCTTCGGCCTGCTCGAGGGTGCCCTCGCGCAGGCAGGCGCGGGCAAGGCCGCGCGCTAGCTCGGGCGGGAGCTGGCCGCCCGCCGCCTTGACCGTCGAGAAGACGGCGAAGCTCATCTGCGCGAGCCGCGGCTCTGCGGCGCAGCAGCCGACCAGCGCGGCCGACGTCTTGAGGCTAGGAGAGAGCGAGGCGTCGATGGCTGTGAGGAACACGCCAAAGGCGTCGTCGTAGCTCTGGCTCTCGAGCAGCGAGCCGATGTACTTCTCGAGCGGCGGGAGCTCCGGCGCGACACCCGCCTCGCCCAGCACGCGCCAGGCGGTGCGAGCGCTCGGCAGCATCGACGGCTCGCGGCAGCAGGCGTAGAGGAGGGCGTTGAAGTTCAGTCCCGCCTTGACCAGCGCGGCCGGACCGTCGGCGAGGGCCAGGCCGCGCTCAAAGGCCGAGTAGGCGGCGGTGTTGTGACGGTGGAGGGACAGGAGGTTGGAGGTGGCGGCAAGCAGCGGGAGCGGGAGCGGCGTCACCGGGTCGATCGACACAAAGGCCTGCGCGGTGGCCGACGGGTCCTTGGCCTCGAGGCCGCGCCTCAAGCGCGCGACGAGGTCGTCGTCCGCCATCCTTGAGGGCTCAGCCCGCGGTGCAGCGCTGTGCGGCGCGAGCGGCGTTTTCTTTTATTATTCTGGTTTTTTTTCTTAGTGTGTTAGCCGCACGCACGTAGCATGAAGCGCAAGCCGGCTGCACGTCCCGTCGCAGAAGCAGCAGCAGCCCGCCCCGACGATATGTTCGGCCTGATGCTCGATCCGGTCGTGCCCGCCGGGCAGGCCGTCCCACCGCCACCACCAGACGCCTCCGTTGCTCCTGCTGCTGCGACGGCAGACGCTCGCTTCACGCTGCGTTCGGTGGTCTCCTTCGAGTCCAAGGCCGACGGCGAAAAGCTGCATCCGATCGATGCGAAACGAAAACTTGAGAAGTCGCTCGCGGAGATTAAGGCGGCGAAGCTAGCGAGAAGAGCGGAGCGGCAGGCGCGGAGACCGGCTGCGAGCAGAGCGTGAGTCGGAGCGCCTGTGGAGTCGACGGCGGCAGTGCTCGAAGAGGGAAGGAAGACGGCCCGCGACGACAAGCGCCGGCCCCGGCGGGCGTCACAGCTGGCGGCGGCTGGAGCGCTGGGACGCGGGCTGTTCCACGCGTGTCCTGGCGCGCTTCACCCGGACGAGCAGCAAAGGTGTCACCAGCGCCCAGGAGCTCGTCTCTGCCGCGACACGGCCGACGGGTGAACGGCGTGGTGTGTGTTTTGTGTAGCCCCGCCCCGCACTGCAGCGCATTTACCGGGACCGCTGCGAAATTGTTGCTCCCTCCTCCCGATCACCCCGCATGTGCCATGCCACCGGCCGCACCCCTGGCAGGGCCCCGCCCTGGTCCCTCTCCCTGGTCTCGTGCACGGCCTCCACGAGGGCCTTCTCATGCGTCGCTTTTATCCTTATATGTCAGTACGTACGGCTCTATCGGCCTCGTGGCCGCACACTAACCCTCAGCCAGCCTTTCACACCGAAAATCTCGGGGGGTTCCGCGAGCCCCGACCTCGGACAGAGGGGGATCCGATCGTGGTGCTGGCGTGTGTGGCGCACATGTGTGGCGCATGCGCCACACAGCTCGATGCTCACCCACTTTCTCAGCACATTCACGTCACACCTCGAGACCACGCTCCGAGGTACATGCACATACCATGTATGGCGAATGCGGTTGCGGAATCGGGAATGGGGAAAAGGATGCTCTCAGTCAGAAAGCTCGTCGGCTATGATTCGACGCATTGCGCCAAGGCCCAAGCTTGGCTTCCTCCACGTAAAATCCAAAGAAACCGGCATCGCAATAAACGAGGCCAGGCCCTCCCCCTCGTCGGCTGGCGGGTGACGGCACGGGCTTTGTCGGTGTGGCGGCACGCTCCTCCGGGATCGTGGGGATGTCGTCGTGGCGGGAATGCGAGTGCGACCGGGACGGAGTCAGGACGTCCCGCAGGCGCAGCGCGAGGAATTCCGAGTGGGCGGTTGCGGACGCGGTTGCGGACATCGACGCCATGGTCTCCCCGGGGCTCCCTCCCAGTAAAATTTCTGACGAATCGTCATTCCACATCATGACGTTTTTTGGATTTCGTCCGAGGACCTCCTACATGTACATGTACCCTCCTTTGGCTGAACAAGGTTTTCCTCTCGCACCCCGTCTCTTTTCCTTTCCTTTTTTCTCTGCAGCACCCTCTCTTTTCCTCTCTATTTTCCCGGGAAAACCATCAAATTTCCCGGGCTCTGAGCCGAGTCTGAGTGAGGCTTGAGCACTTGAGCACTGGATAGGGTCGATTCCGCGTGGTACGGGACCCCTCGATCGTCTCGCCCTCCCTCACTGGTATGTTCATTCAGGAGAGCCCCACCCGCACCTGCCCTGCAGGGTTCGTGAGTGAATTTTCACACTTTCACTTTCACATGTGAATTCATGTGAATTTCACATGAAACGTTTCGGCCGCCCCCGTTTCACTGAAAATTTCACAAGTTTAGGGTGCCCACAGGACCCAAAAGAAAATAGCTTTCCCGCTCAAAAAGGGACGCACGAGGCAAATCTGATGTTGGATTGTTCCAATAGGAGAGAGGCCTCTTCCGTCGGGGGACCGAGTTCATAGGAAACGAGGGTTTCCCATTGTGACCCGCTCGAGCGCGAGCGTGACACTGCACTTGGCGCCGACCACCTCTTTCCCGCCTGGGCGGGGCGGTGGGCGGGCGCGCGGTGCGGCGCGGCGTGTGCGTGTGTGCGTCTCCAACGAAGGACCGCTCGCAGAGGACCATTGGGTTTGTACTATTAACAACGAAGGCGCTCTCAAAAAAAGAAATCGGAGCCCGTACTACGAGTACAATGATGAGTGTGTCGCCCTCCCGCAAGCGCGCCCGCACCGAGAGCGACGGTGGCGGCGAGGAGGGGGGCGAGCCCGTGGCAGTCGCGGCCGGCTTCGAGGCGCCCATCTTTGGTGCGCGCGTCGTCGGCCAGGTCACGACGCTGGCGCTCGAGGGCGAGGACGGACCTCTGGCGTCCCTCAGCCTGCGCGGCGTCGCAATCGATCACGCGGGCGGCTGGTACGTCACGACTAAGAACTCGGTGCTGCACGTCTCGGCGGCCGGGCGCGTGCGCACCGTGGCAACCTGCGAAGGCGGCGAACTCTTCGGCCTCGCCATCAGCCAAAACGGCAGCGCGCTGTTTGTGTCGGACCTCGACGCCCACAAGATCCGGCGGGTGGAGGTGGCGACGGGTGCTGTGACGGCGATTGTGGGTAGCGGCGGAAACGGCGATGCAGACGGCGTGGGTGATGCGGCGCAGTTCGGCGAACCACGCGGTCTCACAATCAGCCCGGACGGCAGCGCGCTATTTGTGGCGGCCTGCGGCAACCACAAGATCCGGCGGGTGGAGGTGGCGACGGGCGCGGTCACTACGCTCGCGGGTAGCGGCAATGATGGCGACGCGGATGGCGTTGGCGGCGTGGCGGAGTTCTGCTGCCCATTCGGTGTCACTGTCAGCCCGGACGGCAGCGCGCTGTTTTTAACGGATTACGGCAACGACAAGATGCGTCGGGTGGAGGTGGCGACGGGCGCGGTGACTACGCTCGCGGGCGGCGAGGAAGGCGGCGCTGATGGCGTCGGCGGCGCGGCGCACTTCAACGGAGCACGCGGCCTCGCAATCAGCCCGGACGGCAGCGCGCTGTTTGTGGCAGACACGTTCAACAACAAGATCCGGCGGGTGGAGGTGGCGACTGGCGCAGTCACTACGCTCGCAGGCAGCGGTGCCAGCGGCAGCGCTGATGGCGTGGGCGGCGCGGCGCAGTTCAACTACCCAATGGCCCTCGCCATCAGCGCCGACGGCAGCACCCTCTCGGTCTGCGCAATGGGCGGCCTCCGCCAGGTCTGCGTGGCGGCGCCTCCTCCGCCTCCCTCCTTCGCGCCGCTCGTGGTTCCGCCCTCCACCTTCTCCGCCGACATGGCCAACACGTGGGGCGACGCCACCCTCCCCACCGGCCTGGTCACCTTCCTGGTCGGCGACGACGAGGAGCGCATCGAGCACGTGAGCAAGTGCGTCCTCTGCGTGCGGTCCGTGTTCTTTCGGACCATGTTTGGCATCGGCATGAAGGAGCGCGACGCCGCCGTAGTGACGGTGCGCAAAACCGACCTCGCCACCTTCACCGCCCTCGTCCGCTACCTCCTCACCGACCAGCTCGACCTCGGCGAGGAGGAGGGCGGCAGAGCGCAGCGCGCGCTCGACCTGCGGCAGCTGGCGCAGATGTACCAGGTGCCGCGCCTCGAGCTGCTCTGCGCGCAGGCGCTGCAGGAGAGCGTCGCGCCGGCGACCGCCGTGCCGCTGCTCGAGGCGGCGCACACGATGGGCGACGGGCGGCTCCTCGCGCAGTGCCGCCGCTTCGTGGCCGACCACGCCGCCGAGGTGCGCGCGAGCGGCGGCGTGGAGCAGCTGTGCGACCTGGGCGTGGCCAAGGGGCTGCTCGGCGACGCGCTCGACCAGGTGGCGGAGCTGAAGAAGGGGGCGACGCGTGCGGCGGCGGCCTGACGCGCCCCTGTGAAGAGTGCGAGCATCGACGCGCGCCACTCGTGTGTATACTAGACTGACCGTGCACTCAACAACAAACTAAGGGCGTAGACGTCTGACGTCCTTAAACAAACAAAGTGAAAACCGCGGCTGCTCCGCGCCATGTGCATGGCGTTCGAGTGAACGCCGTGCAGGCAGCCCGTGCCTTTTGGTGTACCCCGTTTGTGCCGCGTCCTGTGCCCCCGAGTTCATTTTATAAAGAACCGCGCCATTCGCTCTCACCTGGCAACCCTGTCTGCACGTCTCGCGCGCGCGTGAACAGGGCTCCAGGCCCCAAATTACGTGTGAGTGTTAGATTTGTTTGGTATTGCTAAAAATCTCGCCCCATCGAATTCTTTTTGTTCCGCGCCAGTGCGCTCCGGCACACCCACCACTGGCGCGAGGGGGAGCTGCTCATCTGGGACAACCGCGCCCTGCTGCACCGCGCGCTGCCGTGGGACGTCGAGAGCGTGCGCCGCATCATGCGGAGGGTCGTCGTGCTCGGCGATGTCGAGCGAGACGTGCCGCGGCGGTGGAGCGGTGAGGATGCGTGCTGAGCCGAGCGCCCGAGGTGGCGGTAGAAAGAGGGCGAGGAGTAGCCGGTGAGCCCTGTGTATACTGTGCAGGCTGTGCGTGTTTTGTGTGCGCTAGCAATGACGCTCGACCGAGACTGCGGAGTTTGCAGCCGCTGGTCCGTACTGCTGTGTCCAGCTGAGAGCGAAGAGCTCTATCGACTCGGTGCTGTGCACTCGCCTACTCTGTGTGCTACTCTGTGTCGACGCTCCGACTGTCGTGTGAGGTGTGCGTGTGAGCGTGTGATTCCGTGTGGTGAGTGCAGTGCTCTCGACTTCTCGATCAAAAAGAGCGCCTTCGGCACTACTCCCTCACGCCGCCGACGCTCCCCACGGCCGCTCTGGGGCAGAGCCGCCTAGAAGCGGAACATCTCCCCACATCTCCCCACATCTCCCCAGATCTCCCCATATCTCGGGCCCTAGAAGCGGAATGCGCACTCTTGTCTGCCAGCGAGCGCTCGAGAGGACACCACTCCGCTGTACTCGACCGTATCCACCTCTTTTCGCCCCGCCCCTCGTATCCCTGGGTCGTCCTTCCAAAATCCTCCTCCTGCAGGTGTGGACCCTGTCCTCCTCCCCCATCCCCGTTTGCTGCCCACCTTAAAACCCTAGTAGGTGGATAGTGTCGCTGTTTTCGAAAGGCGCTGACGGCCCGGCGCGTACCGCGCGACGCCCGGGCTACCCACCAGTGAAAGGCCTATACCAACCCTTCAAAATGACCTACTAACTTTGGTACACTCTCACTTTGATATTTCCCGCGGTGCACACTCAAAGTCCGGAAATCTCACAGACGCGCGCGTTTTGGCCGGCTACCCCATCGGGTCGCACGGAGACACGGGAAGGCTGCCGCAAGCCGCCTCCGGGTGCAGGGGCCCGACGCGGTAGGCGGGGGCAACAGCCCGGTAGCTGGCCGCGCCTCTCCGCCCCGCCCGTCGCCGCTGCACCCCTTGCCGCGGCCCTCGTCGCTGCTGCAGCGACGACAGCCGCGGCACGAGGTCAGAACGCGGCCTCGGAGAGCTCGAGCGAAGGCGCCGACGGTGGCGGCCGTGGTAGTGGTTGATGGTAGAAGGCTCCTGAGCCGTCGGGCACCACGCTCGACGTCGCCGAGGAGCCGCACCCGGCGCGAGCGCCTGCGCGTCGGCGGGTGCCACCGAAGGCGGGTGGGCAGCACCGGGCGGGGCGGCGGAGCTTCTCGAGGCGCGCACGTGCCCCGCGGGTCGTGCGCCGAGGCAGACGGCCGAAGAACCGGTGGAGTATCGCGCCCTCCTTCGCCGTGCCGCGTGTGCGCTGCGCCCGCTCGAGAGGCCGTCGAGAGCAGCGCGGCGCAGCCGATCCGGGCGATGAGCGTGCGCGGAACCGACCGGACTCGTCAATGTCCACTATGCGGGCATGGCCAGGCCGGCGCGGTTTGGTCTGGCGACCTACAGGGCGCGCACCGCGGTTGTGTCAACGCGAGATTCCGCGAGACCGCCTGTCTGACAGGTTATCCACCCACTAGGGTTAATCGTCAAGGGGCTGAGAATTTTCCGCACTCTTCTCTTGATGATGCAGGAATCCTTTGGACAGCTTCCCATGCTCAGAGACTTGGCCGGCCGAGCGCCCACGCACGGGTCGGCAGCCGGTTCGGCGTCGTCCTCCGCCGCGGCCGCGCCCGCGGCACCGCCCGCCGCGCCCGCCATGGCGATGCGGCCTCGCCGCCCGCGCAAGGTCGCGGACGGCTCTGGCGAGCCGGCGGCCCGCGGCAAGCAGCAGCACTCGAGGAGCGGAGCAGGTGAGTCTCGTGGCGGCGGCGGCGAGGAGAGCGACGGGGAGGGAGGGGCGCCGGAGGCCGGCGAGCCCGCCGAGAAGAAGGCGCGCTTCGTCTGGACGCCGGAGATGCACCTTCGGTTCGAGCGGGCCGTCCACAAGCTCGGCGTGCCGCACGCGAAGCCGCAGGCCATCCGGCAGCTGATGGGATGCGAGGGGGAGGAGTACGCGCCGACGCGGCAGAACATCAAGTCGCACCTCCAAAAGTACCGCCAGAGCCGGCAGAACTCGAGCCACGCCGCCGACGGGCCGAGTGCGCTCGACGGCGCTCCCGCTCCGCACGCACAGCAGCAGCAGCTCAACCTGCTGCAGCAGCTGGAGCTGCAGTCGAAGCTGCACGAGGAGCTGCTGCGGCAGCGGCAGGACCAGGCCGAGCTCGCCGTCCACCTCTCGGGCACTGGCCGCGAAGCGATGCGCCCCGAGCAGCTGACCCGCCTCGCGCAGCACGTCATGCTGCAGCGGCAGCTGCTGCACCATCTCTTCGCGCTGCTGCAGGCGCACACGGAGGACGTGATGCGCGAAGGGTCGCAGGCGCGCCGACGCCCCCCCGCCCTCGCCACTCCCCCACCTCTCGGGACACCGCCGACACCGCCGACCCCTCCGGCAGCGTCGCTTGCGCAGAGCTGCACACACGCCCAGCCAGACACGCACACAAACAGCACAGCAGAGACACAGACACACAGCACAGACAGGGCACCAGCAGCGGCATACGACAACATCCGCACGCACTCTCGCACGCACACCCGCGGACGCCCAATCTCGCCCCAACCTCGCCCCAACCTCGCCCCCCGTAGCTGGCCGCCAGCCTCTCCGCGGGAGGGGCAGGGCTGCCCCCCGTCCCTCGCCTCGACGCGCATCCGCCCGCAGGGAGCGACGGAGCGGCCGACCCAGGTGCCCCCCACCCACCCACCCCACCCACCCACCCCCGCGCGCCTCCTCCCCCAGCCTCCGGCCTCGCAGCCTGCCGTGGCCTCCGCCCGGCCGGGCTTCCCCCGCCCCCCCGGTCCCCATCCCGGACCCCCCCCCCCCCCCCCGGCAGCCTGGGGCGGCGCCTTCCTCGGCCTGGCGGCTAGCGGGCTCGGCGCGAGCCAGGCGGGCGCGCTGCAGGGCCTCTCTTCGCCGCTCGGGCAGTCCCAGCCCATCGACGTGCCAGAGGTATCTTCGCAGCTCGAGGTCTTCGGCGGCTTCGACGGCATGGACAGCTCCGTCGGCTGACGGGGCGCGGGGGAGTTGGCGCCCGCTCAGGGTCGAGACGCGCCTGCACTGCCGTCTCGGGAGTGGTTTGGCGCTCGCATGTGCGCATCGCGTCGGGAGTAGCATATGTGTGTGCACTGGTTGACGCGGGGGACGGACTACGTCGTGAGGACGGACTGAGAGCCAGCGAGAGGCCGGAGGTTTTATTGCAACGGATCGCTCGGTCGTGTGTGTGCGCTGTTGTTGTGTGCGCTCATTTTTGCCTGATCGATCGGGAACGAAGTCGATGTGTGTGGCTCTCCCCCCGCGCGCCCCGCCCCCGGCCCCGGGTTGTTGCACGAGTATATGGGCCAAAAGCGTCGAAAATGTCCCAAAAAGCGTGTCTCGAGTTTGTTGCAGCCCCACAGCCGGCGCGCGCTGCCGGGAAGCACCGCTCGCGTGTCGGCGGCACTCCCTGGCACCCAGTGAGTGCCGCGAACAGACCAGACCGATTAGGCTCGACGCCGTGCGCGCTGTGGGGCTGCAACAAACTCGCCGCCGAGCGTGCCACCGAAAGCGTCCCGGCAGAGGTGATGGAGTGTGAGACCTGAGGCTGCGGAGGTGACGCCTGAGGTACCGGCTCGTGCACGGCGACTCAGCCGGCGACCGCCACGGGCTCAGGCGAGACCTGTCGACGCGTTCCGGCTCAGCTTCACCATGGTCCTCGGGCGTCTGTCGACGTCAGGACCACCCATACAGCTCGAGGGTTTGAGGTCGCAAGAGCCAAGATGGTGGCGTTTGGACATCCCAACCATCCCACAAGACAGCCTGTAGGTGATGGCGGGACGGCGCAGTGTTTGTGGCACTCGGCAGTAGGCACCTGCGGCACGGCCCGCTGTCGGCTCTCGCGGGCTGCGGAACCGGCCCCAGAAGGGGACGGTCCGGGCGAGTGTGGCAGCTCCTGCGCTAGTATGGGCACCCTCTATCACAATACTACTGATCCTGGTCATTAGAGCTGCCAGGGATAGCGTCAGGAGCCGGTAGGAGTCAAAACCCCTCATATTTGAGACATCGTGGCCCATATACTCGTGCAACAACCCCCCCCCCGCGCGACATCTCTGTGGGCACAGACGGGTCCGACCCAGAGAGTCGTGCCGTATACCGCCGCTGCCGGGTGTGCGCACATCCACATGCGTCATGGCGCGACTGGGACTGCCGGGAGGACGTGGGAGGGAGTCAGAGGAGGAGAGTGTTGCCACCAGTCCGCCACACCGACGTGGCACATGCCAGACGACAGCACGACAGGGTCGTCACGATCTCTTCTGACTCCTCCGGGTAGGCTATTCCGACAGCTCCACCCGACGGGAGTGAGGAGTGGGTCACCGAGCCCAGGCAGACACAGGCTTGCCCAAGCCGCGTCACGGCTCTGCACGGGAGGCCGCTAGTGTCACCGCTGCCACGCCAGCGGGGTCCTGCCTCCTCCTCCTCCTCCTCCGCCTCTGGGAGTTGTGCTGCACCTCGCCTTCAGTGAAATCCAGAGTAGAGGCGGTAGGTCTCCCGGTTGGTGAGGCCGGTGACGCCGGGCAGGTAGCCCTTCGGCGCCGGCATCTCCCGCGCCGCGAGGCCGATGGCGGCGCTGTCGAGATCGCCCGCCTCGGCAGCGGCGATCACGTTCCTCGCGACGAAGGCGTTGAAGTTCTCCTCGACTCCCTGACGCGCCGAGGTCGCCTTGGTGCCCTCGTAGTACTCGGGCAGCGGCAGCCAGGCGGCAGCGGCGATCTCGCGTTCGCAGGCGCGGATCTCGGCGGAGAGCGGGGAGAGGAGGCAGACGCAGTACGCGTCGTCCCTCCCGAAGGCGGCGCCGTGCTGGTGGCGGAGCGCGAGCAGCGACTTGAAGCGGGACCGCACGCCCGTCTCCTCGAGCACCTTTCGAGGTGGTGCCAGGGGTGAGAGGGCCTCTCCTCCGCCCCGGCAGGGAGGCGGGAGGGAGTGGGCCGGGCGCCTCTCGCTCCACCGCCACGTCCAGCTCCTCGGCCAGATCCACGAGCCCTCCAGGCAACTTCCAGCTGCCCTGGGAAGTCGTCGTCGCCGCTCGCCGCTCCTGCACGACCAGCACCCCCTTGGGCTCACTGGGCGGGCCCAAAGGGGGCCCCTGTGAGTGGAGGCCCCACTGCATGCTTACAGCTGCCAGAGGAGCGGCACCTCGTGCCGCTCGTTGATGCACATGCCGCCGACGCCAACCACTGCAGCGGTGCGGCGGTAGTCAGTGCTGAGCGAATGGGAGGCGAGGCAGGCGGAGCTGCGACCGTGCGTGGCAAAGTCGGGCACCGGACAAGGCTCGTCCTCCGGCAGCCACGCCAGAAGCATCGCGCTCTCGCCGACCGCGTGGTGAAACCGGAAGCCGTGCGCCGCCGCGAGCGGCAAGACTCCACCTGAGATGACTGTGTGAGATGAACTTGTGCAGGCGAGATGAGGCGCAGTGGCAGGTCAAGCCTTGCGAGAGAGGAACTCTCATCCAGACGCCCTTGCGGTTGGCGTTGCGGACGGAAGCCATCACATTGTCAAGCTGTGCCGCAAAGGATGTCAGCTCGATGGCGTCCGGCAGCGTCACAGTGGCTCCGTCGAACCGCGCTTCAGACCAGGACAGCCCATTCGCGGCCTGGCACCGGCGGCGCAACCGCTGCGTCACCAGAGCGGGAGGCCTCGAGAAGACCTGCTGCGCAACGAGGCGAAACCGCGCTGAGTGCATGCCTGCCGGCTGCTAAATCCACAGCGGCCCCGCGTGCATTTTCTTTTTTTTTTGCATGTTCATTTGAACTGCGCCGGCCGGCGAAGCGAGTACAATGCTCGAAAAACGCCTTCAATCAAGCCTCACTACTCACTACTCTCTCCGCGAACCGCAGGAGGCGCCCGTCAGCGGCGACGCTGCCCATGCCGTGGTTGCCCCCCTCGATCACCTCGAGCTCAATCCCCGTCGCGGCGCACAACTTGACGGAGTCGGCGACGGGGATGGTCTCATCCGCGTCGCCGTGGACGATCAGGCACTGTGCCTTGCGCTCCGCGGGCAGCGCGGCAATCTGATCGACGATGGCCTCGATCGCACCGTGCCGCCGCAGCTCACTGAGCGCGGGGCAGAGCATCACGGCCGGCCCCGTCCATGCACCCTCCGCGATGAGTGCCGCGGCCACGGCGCCACCCCAGCTCGAGCCGATGAGCACGTCGAATGCGGCAGGCCCTGCATCGCGCAGAGCCGTGCGCTGGACATCGACGCACGCCTCGAACGAGTCGGCCAGCGCGCCGCCAATCCACTGGGACGGCCAGCGCGTGAGCATTGCTCGCGGGGACAGCAGGCCGAGCACGACGGAGTTGCGCTTCGTCGGGTTCCACAGGCTCATCGCCATGTCCGGCGCGGTCACCGTCGCGCCCTGACTGCGCAGCGCTCTCGGCTTGAAGCCGCCGGGCCCAGACTCCAGGCCGTGGCAAAAGAGCACGCGCATGTCGGCGTGTTGAGTCGCCACAGTACGATGCTTTGTGAGCTTCGGCGGGGAGCTCGCTTTGCCCGGGCTTTTTCTTTTTAGTACTAGTGCAACCGTTCAACTACAAGTGGCTGTGAAACATGGTGCCGAATATTTTTGTTTAAGGATTTTGACATTCCCGCCACGGATTCTCGCGTTAACGCTTCGCTCGACATCAACACCCTGCTTGTAGAAGCTCGAGTCCACGAGCCTGCGCAGCGAAAAAATCGATAAAAAATTGGCGGGACGGGGCACAAACGGGGCACAAACGCCAGGCTACAAAAACGAGGAAATCTTTGGACTTTGCCTCGAAGACGAAAAAAAGAAAGAAACCCCAGCCGAAACGAGGGATAGGGGAGGAGGACAGGGTCCCCACCTGCACGAGCAGGATTTTGGAAGGACGACTCGAAGACGGAAAAGAAAAATAGCAAGCAAAGGAAGAAACTCAAACTCTTGCGAGGACGGTGAAATTCTTTTTTCCCGCGCCAGTCCCGTGCCCAGTGTAAAGAAAGAAAGAAAACTGATCACCAAGGGAGGGATGGGAGGACGTGCCCTGTGCGAGGGAGTTTGGTTGTGCAAAAAAATCCGGAAAAAATTCTTCTTTCCCGACTCCTCTCCAACCGAGGGGGGAGGGGGGGGGGGGGGGGAGCCTCTTCCCAAGAGCACCACTTGGAGCGCCGCCACTACCACCCAGAGCGATGGTACGACCCCGAGGTTGCATCGGTTCAGCTGTCGCGCTAACTCTCGCCGCGCTCTCGTCGACCAATGCGGCCGTCGGCGTCGTAAAGTCTTGCCCTGCTTGAGGGCTCGACGCGCTGCCGATGGTGAAAAAATTCCTCAAGTCGCCGGGCGGCGTGGAGCTCTATCCATCCGTGAACATCGAGTGGATCAAGGGCCATGACCCGACTCTCTACGTGACAGGTGACGGCCCAGCGGAAGAGATCGGACTCGGCAAGTTCAACTACACACAGCTACACGAACTCTTCGCCCGCAAGTTTGGGCGCGTGGCCTTGCGAGATGAAGCGGCCGGCTCAACCTGGAAAAGGCCGGCTGCGGACGATGCAGGGTCGCCTGCCGGAGCAGGCAGCAGGAGACTCCTCTTCATGCTGACGGGCGGAGCGATCGTCACAGCGCTCTACGCTGCAGCCGCGCGGCGCTCTCGCGCCCGCGGCGGCTGGGACGCAGCGAACGACGAAGACGAGCTGAAGCAACGGCTCACGGCATGAGCCGGTCGCGTCACTCGTGCGCGCTCTCTGTCTTCTTCTGCGCGTTTGCGTCGTTGACGATTGTGTGCGTGCAGTATTTGAGCGCTGAGCCGGTCCGTCGGTTCGCGTCTCCGCGCAAGTCTCCGCGCGCGCGACACTGCGGCCGCACGTGCGCACACGCGCACGCACGGACACACACAGGCGCGTGGCCGGGTGGGCCAGTGGCCCGTGCGCTCGTGTCGACACGCCGCCGCCGGGCGTCAGGCGTGTGCGGCTGCGCGCTCGGTGACCGCGTGTGTCATTTCAAGGAAAAAGCCCGTATGCCTGACCGCCACGACGTCACCCTCCCGCAGAGCTCAGGTTGCCGCTGCGAACGATGCGGCGCGTCACGCCGTCCGGCGGCGGCGCGGTGCCCGACGTCATCCTGCGCAGCAAGAGCTCCGCGGCCGGCCTCTGCCCCGCCCGCAGCAGCGCGCCAAGCGCCGCGTTGTAGCAAGCCGTGTCCACGTCCGCCGCGCCTGCCGAGGCGAGCAGCCGCGCCGCCTCCCTCCACTGGCCCGCGCGGCCGTACGCCGCGATCGCCGAGCAGCGCGCCTTCGCGTCGAGGCGAGGGGCGGACCTGCCCGGCCCGCCCTGCCCGCGCAGCTCGGCGAGGAGATCGCTCGTCATCTCGGCGTCGCCGACGCGGGCGCACGCGGCGAGGGCGGCCGAGAGGGCGGGCTGGTCCAGAGCGAACGGGCTCCCCCCTCCCTCCCGCCCCCCCTCCCGCCCTCCCCCCTCCCCGTCCGCCCGCCCGCCCGCCGCTGCGCCGCCCCCTTGCGCTCGCAGCGAGCGGAGGAGGGCGAGGCCGCGCTCGGGCGTCCCCGCCCGCGTGCAGGCGGCGATGGCTGCGCCGACGTGCCTTGCGCTCGGCTCGACGCCCAAGCCGGGCAGCGAGCCCACCAGCGACACCGCCTCGCTCGCCGCGCCGGCGGCGGCGCAAACCTCGAGCACGACAGAGGCGCAGTGATGATGATGATGATAATAATAATAATAGTAATAATGATGATAATAGCAAACCTCGAGCACGACAGAGGCGCAGTGATGATGATAATAATAATAATAATAGTAATAATGATGATAATAGCAAACCTCGAGCACGGCAGAGGCGCAGTGATGATGATGATGATCATAATCATAATAGTAATAATGATGATAATAGCAAACCTCGAGCACGGCAGAGGCGCAGTGCGCGTCGGGGCGCGGCCGCGCGAGGGGTGTGGGAGGGCGGCCTCCTCGCGGCTGGCGGCGACGGCCCGACGACCCGCCCCCCGCCTCCCCGGCCCCGCCTCTGCCCGCCCCGCCTCTGCCCGCCTCGCCTCTGCCCGCCTCGCCTCTGCCCGCCTCGCCTCTGCCCGCCTCGCCTCTGCCCGCCCCGCCTCTGCCCGCCTCGCCTCTGCCTGCCGCCCCGCCCGCCGCCAGCTCGCTAAAGAGAGCGATCGCCTGCGGGGTCCGAGGCAGGCGCGTCGGAGAGGGTCGGAGAGGGTCGGAGAGGGCCGGGGAGGGCCGGGGAGGGTCCGGGAGGGTCGGAGAGGGTCGGAGAGGGCCGGGGAGGGCCGGGGAGGGTCCGGGAGGGTCGGAGAGGGTCGGAGAGGGTCGGAGAGGGCCGGGGAGGGTCCGAGACAGCGTCAGCGCGGCGCGGCCTCTCCTCTCGCCGCGACGCGGTGGGAGAGGCGAGGAGGAGGAGGAGGAAGAGGAGGGGGCAGGAGGAAGGAGAGGAGGCGAGGGGAGGAGGAGGAGGAGGGGGCAAGGGGCAGCGAGGGCGAGGGCAAGAGTTTCAAGGAGAGTGTGATGTCTCGCCTCGTCCACACGCCCGTCTTTGCGGTGCGCGCAGATGGCGGCGCAGTAAGCGTGCGCCTAACAAGGACGCGCACTCGGGCGTATCATGAGTCCGGCTCGGTCATAGCCAAGGCGCGGCAGGCGCGCGCCGACGGCGGCATCCCTCGCTCCGCCATCTCGCGCAACAAGCCCACCGCCTCGCCCGTCTCGCCTGTCATCTCGGGTCATCTCGGGTCATCTCGGGTGATCTCGCGCAGCACGCCCCCCCC